AAAATATATGAAGTACAGTCTCTGGTCAGTGTTTCGATGGGCCAGTTGTCTTGAATCTGACACTTGAGAAGGACAGCTTTTAAATCTGAAATAAGAGAAACACATTCAGTGGCAGCACACTGAAACCCATTTACTGGTTTGGTAGGACCGGAATCCAGTTACCCAGCACAGATTTTCTATCTTGAGTTTTTCTATATTGGTAGCTACTTTGCTTGAAAAAGGGGACCAAATCTAAGTCCAAACTTTACTGAAATAGCACTGAGTGCTTGAGAGAAGTGAGGCAGAGATAGGCATTTAAGGTGTTAAGCTATGGTATAGACATTTTTTTTCTTGTTCAGTTAAGAAATGGGATGAATGCTAACAGGGTACTAGTAGTTGATGTAACTTTAAGAAGATGTGAGGAACTTGTTTTTGCTTCAAGGATTAATTTATTCTGAATAGGAAATTGATTCCATTATAATTGTAGAATAGATAGGGATATTTGAAGCTTTTTAAGATAATTAAATCTAATTTTCAAAAACTATGCATGCATTGAATATCTTAAATGTCACTGAAAAGACCCTGGAAGACGAACTCCTGGTGATTTAACATCTTACGGTTTTTGTTTTTAAAAAGATGTCATTTCTGTCCACTGCATGTCCTGAAGGCCAAAGCTTACAGGCAGACGCAAGTACATCAGCCCCTTTCTGTGCCCAGATGTACTTGTTAGAGAATACTATTGCAACTGTTGGCCATGTAAAAATAATAGATACTTCAGAACTGTGCCTGTGGTGTTACACATACTGCAACACTGTGCTGAGGGAGCAGGGGCAGAAAAGAGGAATCAGCAGTTTTTAAATGCAGAAATGGTGCCTTTCTTTTTCTTACCCTGCTGAAAAGGCTGACTGCCTATCCAAAAGCCGTTATTTTAAAAATGAATAATAAAACAATTTGTGAAATGGAGTGACAGATATTTTACCGTAATAAAAAGAATTCTATTATCTCCTACTCTGTATTATCTACATTTGGGAAGGTATTTACTAAAAAATAATTTCGCAAAATACTGTAAGGTCTTATTTAGTTACAGTCTTTCAGTAGATTGCAGGGATGGGACTTAAATGGATGGAGTCCCATGATGGAAACACTGAAACTTCCAGGATGTTGCAGACAATTAAAATAATACCATCTCAGTGACTAATGGCATGCTCCCAAGAACTTAGGAAAGAGGTAGCACAGGATGCAGGCTCATTCAAGCAGATGTTTCTTAGTCTGTGCTATATTTAGATCAAGAGAAAAAAATCTGCTGGGTGAAACATTTGCCTGTCAGGGTTTCAGAATTTGATTTCCCTCTCCAATTTTAATTCTGATAAGGTGTGAAGAGCAGATGGAAAGAGAAGAGCCTCCTTCTGTGATTGCATAGAGTTATTTATACAGTTTTCTCACTGTATGTTGGAGTTGTCTTGCCGCTGGATAAAGTTCTTACTGAGGTCACAGGACTCAGTCACTTTTTTAAGGATCTTCATGCTGCTTCTTTTACAGAGAATAGGAAAAAAAAGGCCCAAACAAAAACCAAAAAACATGCCTGGAAGTTGCTCAGAAGTTCACACCAAGAGAAAATTAACAGTTTTTTAATGACGGGTTTGTTTGTTTTTTTGTCCCAACCGGATTTTTATTGCCAACTTTCTCTTTTGTGGAATAATGTGCTACCTCAGAAAATCATTGCACTGTAAAATCTGTAGTTCTGCACTGCTGAACGTGTATGGGTAAGCTCCAATCTGTGTTCACTCCCCACCCTCTCCACCACTGTAAACTGTTTGCATTCTTTTGGCTTTGCTGTGCAACCTTGTACTGTCTTCATCCTTAGTTTTGTATCCGAAAAAAGGTAATTTACATAGTTTCCAGTATATCCAGTGCTCATTCTGGTTTCAAAGCTGTATACAAGCCAGCTGGCTATTGCCACCCACTATGAATTGAGCTCCTCTCAGTAAATTGCATGAATTTCTATTCAGCTTTAATAACCTGGCAGTTTTGTTCATCTGTGTTGGCTTTATTCTAACTTTTGTGTATAAACATCAAGATTATTTTGTGGAGAAGCCATTTGTCAGAAACCGACCTAGCAGAAAAGTGTGAAAAACCTTATTTAGGTAATGTATTAGAGTAACTTTTGCTGTGGAAGTGTCACAGAGCTGTTCAGTCACTTCAGCAGTGGCTTAAATTGTCCCACTTTCAACAGCATATGAATCACGGCTAGACAAGTCACGCATACTAATTACTATCCTTCTCTTTCTGCACATTTGTAAAATGTTTTTCCTTCCCCAGCAGTGGGTGATTCAGCTGATGAACTAGGCAAGCAAAATGTATTTTTGACCCCTTTGGTACCTTGGGGGCAAGATAGCGTATTTACAGTCATGCCGTGCAGACCAGACACTAAGCCAGTCGATAGCACTCTGTTGTGCCCGTGTCTTTCTGCTCTAGGCAGGTGGTGTTGCTTTGAACTGGCTATAGAGGGGGAAGGGTCTGCTTGTTCTGTGTTGGCTTGGTCAGCAGCATCTAGGGGGAGATTTAAGGGAAATCTTTCTGTGTGAAGTACATCACCGGCACAACGCATGAAAGTTTCATTGCTCCTGCCAGGTCCTCTCCACCCAGCTACAGAAGTGGCTAGAGCATATGTGAAGAATTGCAGAGGTGAGGTGTCCCTTGTACAGGTATGACACAGCTCAGCAACAAAAGATGTATTGGAAAAATTGAAGTGGTTCTTACAGCTGCCTTGAGCCACAGTACAGGTGCTTGTGAGGGAGCCAAGGGGTAAGCTTGATATAGTCCAAGAAACTCAAAATGGCTTTAATTCCAGTTTGTCTGTCATAAATGTCTCTGAAAAATGGGCCTTTTATAGGCAGTGCAATAAGCATGAGGTAGAGCACTTCCAGGTAGCACCAAACACATAAGATCTGCAGTCAGCATCAGCGCTACTCTCGAATGAATATATTTGCACAGTTGCAAGCTGTGCTGTTTGTGTGTACACACCAGCTCACTTGGAAGTTCTTTAACACGGTGTCCTATTATTACGGTTGTGGCATAAACTTCATAAGCTAAGAGAGGAATAAAAACATGTCCTCTGGGTGTTGAAACCTGAGTAAAGTTCTTCAGGTTGTATTGTCAGGCTTCTTGCTCTTAAGTTTAATTTGTCTCGAAGGGAAATTTGCATTCCTAAGTGTGCATTTGGAAACAAAAAATAAATTTGGATGCTGCACTGGGTTATGCTGGAATGAATGTTGACGAATGTTTTTTGACCCACTTGCTAAGTTCTATTGATTTGTGCTCCTTTTAATAAGAAAGACTGCTGTGGCTTGAGCTTGTGGTGTTTACAGCTATGGAGTTGCATTCAAATCTGTGACAGGCTTTGTCTTTGAAGCATATGAGTAGTCAGAATAACACAGTGTGTATGAATAGGCAGTTCCATTTGAGGTGGGGGGGCAGGAGACATAGTAGATTTGTAGAAAAAAGTCTGGTTAAATGTCATTAATTCTTACCAATTGTGAAAATTTAACTTATAGCTGGTTAACTCAAAACCTACCTCAGAAGAAATGTAAGGCTCTGAGATATAAAAACTAGCATTTGGTTTTAAAATGAAGTTTCAGAGGAACTGGTTAATCAAGATCTGAGATCGTTCATTGAATTTTCTATTTTTAATGTAGCTTCATTGGTATTTAGGAAACCTTTATGATCAGAACATTATAGAAACAGCAGCATGAAGTGGCTATTGCTGTAGAAAATGTTAAGCAAGGAAATAAATGTTCGTGTTTTTTTCTCTTTTGAAATTCATCCAGTTTTAATTGCTTACTGTCTGTATTTTAACAATGCTAACCTTTTAGTTAGGTTGAAAGTTAGTAAAGCCTGTTTGTATCTCTAAAATGTATAAAGACAGAGATTAAAGTGTAGTCAAAAGACCTTAATACTTTCAGTCAGAGCAGAGTTATTATTTCAAGACAAAAACTAAACCTTGTTTAGTTTAATCTTTGTTCTTTGGATTTAATCCTTGTTCTTGGAATCGCAGGGTTTGGGATGTGATGGTAAAATTGAGAAGGAGGGACCCTATTTGAATGCTTCGTGGGAGAGCAGCTGATCCCTTGTGCTGCTCACGAGGGTGCTGCAGGAGTCGACTGTGCTCCTTCAAGCAGTGTTTTTATCAGCTGCACGTTAGATGGCTGATGGTTTGTTGATGAACAGTTTTCACATAGAGTTTAGGATGCAACAGGTTGCGTCCTGAAATTGTGGAAAAGAACGCAATAGGGTTTAAGTGACCATATACCTAGAGATTTTTCCGTAAGCTGCAATGTGTGGGCAGTTCTGAACAGGAACATGTGTACATGTTAAGTAGGGGAGGAAATTTTGAGTCAACTGGTGGAGTTACTTGTGATGATTTTTGTTGTAATAGTGTGAAATTGAGATCAAGAGGGTAAACGCCATAGCTGCAGAGATTGTAATAGAAAAATCACTTCTCACATTTCTGTTTGTATTTTGTTTTCTGAAATGCCCTTTTCTTTTTCCTTTTTTTGAAGGCCACTGAAAAGTGTTATGTTATCTGTGTGCATGTGTCACCCTGGCAGTGTAAATTTGATGGTGGCTACAATACATCTCCCTTCCTTCCTTCCTTCCTCTCTTCTGTTACCATAGCATTTCCCTCCCAGGGACTCTCTCGCAGAGCTGCAGATGGGATTCTCACTATGAACTCTGTGCTGCACAGTCAGATACGCTCAGTGCTGTAGAAGGAAAATAGGAAAGAAACAGTGACTTAGCAACACAGATAAAGCTTTCCTGGTATTTCCAAGAAGCAAAAAACCTTATTTGAAACAAAAGCTTGTTTTTATTAAATTGAGGATGGCGTTTTATTATGAAGAGAAACAAATGCTGTTTTTCCTCCCCCACCTCAGTCTGTTTTCTCCTGTCCAGGGACATTGATTTGGAATAGTGACTGCCTCATCCTGGGGCTTAAGTTTCTTTTTTTTTCCCCTCTCCTTTAGCTGTGGACATGGCTTGAAGAGCTACAGAAAGAACTGCTTGATGATGTCTATGCTGAGTCTGTGGAGGCTGTCCAAGACCTGATTAAACGTTTTGGTCAACAACAACAGACCACTCTGCAGGTTACAGTCAATGTCATAAAAGAAGGTGAAGATCTTATACAACAGCTAAGGTAAAACAGATTTTTATTTAAATCTTTTCTGGTGTATGTCTAAGACTGTGTGAAGCTCTTTGTGTTTTGAGGGTAGAGATGACGACTGCAAGACAAGATCTATAAATAAAACTTGTAAATATTAGGACTACAATGATATTTCATGCTGTGCTGATGGCCTCTAACCCTCTGTTTACAGGATGCTCAGCTTATAAACACTACCTCCACAAGAAGGAGATTTTGTTTACATAAACTACCTTTGTGTTAGGAGCAATCATATGTCTTTGTAGTCTGACATGCAGGGTTCCACAGTGCTTTGAGTTCTGAGTAGCAGCCTTTTTATAAAGAAACACTTGAAATTGTTTTGCAGACTGATAAGTAATTTTATTGTAGCAAAGAACACCAGTTTCCAGTCCATTTCATTCAGTAACAGTATAAATAAATTTGGTCCCCAGTTGCACTGGTACATGTCCCCTTTGCTGCAGGAGCTTATAGTATCATATCTGAATTTGCAGGTTTTATGCTAAAGTAAAAGATTGAGTATTTTTTTCTTATTAACTAATTTTGATTTTTTTTTCTTGCCAGAAAGTTTCAGTAGAGTAAGCAGTTATCATATGCCACTTCTTTTCACAATACAAGGGTTTGTCTCTGGTTTAAAATTTTATTTTTCCTGTAAACAGTGTTCTTAAATGTTGAATCAGTCAAAAAATGAAAGTAATCTAATTTCCTAATGTTTTTCAAGTACTAAACATAATTTGGACTTCTATTAATAAATTAAAGACTTAGCTTTCATGTAATATGGCTTGCACTGACCTTGTCTGAAACAGTCTTACATTTATGGACATATATAGCATTTAAACTGTATGGGGTTTTCTTCAGTAATACTCTTTTTTTTCTTTTTTCTTTTTCCTCTTCCCCCTCTCTCTGCTTTGAACAGGGATTCTGCCATTTCTAGTAACAAGACCCCCCATAACAGCTCGATCAACCACATAGAGACAGTCCTGCAGCAGCTGGATGAGGCCCAGTCTCAGATGGAGGAGCTTTTTCAAGAGCGCAAGATCAAGCTGGAGCTGTTTCTGCAGCTCCGCATATTCGAAAGAGATGCAATAGATGTGAGTGTCTGCCCTTGGAGTTGCACTGTGCTTACTTCTCTCATATAGGAATATTTATGCCGAGTTGGTTGTGTAGTTGCATCGGCATGCGGCTCAATGAGTGATAGACATAGTTCTTAGCTGAACTAAGGCTTTAGTTTTGTGCATGAAAGTGTCAGGAGAGTGCAGAGCTGAGCTTTTTGGTATTAATTCCAGCTTCCATTGGCTCCCAGTGTGTCTTTAAGCAAGTGTCTTGTAAAATCATAATGTACCAGTTACTTCATCTGTCAAGTTTAGTTTGAATATCATGCTACCTTGCTATAACTAGTATGCTTACAGTTAATGTGAATAAAACTTGCAAGATGGTTTAATACAAACCCTCTAAACTGTTGCTTTGTAGTAACACCCCTCCCTCGTCTCTTTCTTTTTCAATTCAGCGGTCTTTTTTCAGTTCACAGCTACAAGTGATGTTTGGAATTCTGTTTTAATCTTCAGGGGTGTTGTATGGACTGTCTTTTTTTTTTTTTTTTTTTTTTTTAAATTTTTTTTTTTTTTTTTTAAATTACTTTACTTGCTTTTAAAAAAAGTAAGATTCTTTCCCCCCTCTGAAAATACTGCAAAAGCTGTTGTAGTGCCACACCCTTGCAAAACTTCAAGAAGTTTTGAGACTATCCAAATCTTGGAAGAGGGTTACAGCTTAGCAGTTGGAAAGTTACTGTTTGTGTGTAGGGATGTGCATATAAACAAACACGGAACTCCACTTGGAACTTACGTTAATGAAATTGCATTATAAAGTTTCAGCTAGGTTGATCATATGACTTCTGTAAAACCATTAGTGCCATACACAGTGATTGAAACTGAGTTTGTGCCTCAGAAGGTTCAGGGTTATCCATTTGTAAGTTATCCTGTTTGGTCATATAAATGGCTTAACTCAAGACTCTGGAAACCAGGAGTTACCATGATAATTTTACCCCTTCGTTTGTACATAGAAAAGCTGCAACTGTTGGTTAGGTACGAATGGTGTAAGGGCAAAGAGGCAGTCGGCAGAAGTGATAGCTTCTCTGTTTGTTTGTTTGGGTTTTTTTTTTTCTTAAAATCAGGATTGGATATAGTTGCTGAAGTCTGGTTTAGCTAAGCACATTGCTGGGAGGAATGCAGGAATAGGCAGACGCAGTTCCTTGATCCGTGCCCACAGAGGAAGTGAGAGTATGCACTCTACAGTAATAACAACTCTGGTGTAGAGGAAGACTAAGAAGGTTCTCTGTTTTGCAATTCACACTGCGGCAGTGAAACCAGTCTGCAAGGAGTTTGCTACTTTGATTATGTGAAAGTACCTGTCTTCAGTATGCAAGGGAAAGACTTGGTAGAACTGTGATTGTAATAGTTGGTTGAATGACTGGTATATGTGGAGGACCATGAAAGGTATCCCCTTTTGTAGGATTGTCAGCAATTTTACAGTCTCTGCAGAAGTGAACTGCAGTGCTTGATGGGGTCTGTGTGATGTTCTCAGAACACTTCTGTTGAGGAAATTGCAGCTGTGAGGCCCAAGACATACACCAATAAAATTAATGGAAGAATTAGGTGAAAGATTTGAGTGAAGTTTATGGTTAAGGTGATTGCTCTCTGCTGTAGGTTACCTCAGCCAGTATTCTACAATAGCAGAAGGCTGGTTGCAGGAACCCTGCTTTGCAGATGTCTTCTAGTCCTTCAGTACAGAACAGCATCTGTGTAGATAGTAATACTTCTGTATACGTTGTTTTGTGGTGGCCGTAGGATTTTGCAGCGGAAAGCTACATATCCTAACTTGATAGGTCTTGCTTTTTCTGAAGCTAACACTTGGCATGCTTTACAGTTTGGCACATAAAACGTAAAGCAAAGCACCTTGTTGAAAGAGTTGGTATTTTTTGTTTATATGGCTTGGAAACAAAAATAATGCTTATTTAAGATTGGCAAGAGTCCCCCAGGGAACAAAATGACCCTGTCTGCAGAGCATCTTCAGCAAAACATTGACTGCTTTGCTGTCTCTGTACCATGTCCTCTCTCTGCTTCCTCAGCAAAGCATGCTTCTCTTTTTCCCCCTCCCTGAAGGCAGACATCTGTTCGGAAACTTCCGGGAAGAAAATGCAGGGACTGGTTCCAGGTCAGTTATTTGAAAGCAGAAGCTCAGCTGAAGTAACATGATAGTGAGGAGGAGCCAGATGCCAGCGAGGATCTTGGAGACCTTGTTTTGACCTCCTCCTTTGTCCCGGATTTTGTGTGACTGGCCCTGTCAATTAAGACTTGGCTGCAGGGGCAGTTCATTCAGGGGAGCATCCTGGGAGGACAGTTTTTCTGGAAGGCGAGTAGTGTTTCTAGCTTGTCTTAGTGCTTGCAAAATAACACAGACTAAAATGGAACAAAGGGTTCCCCTGCGCTGCAGGAGCTTTACTGTTCTGGGGACACTGGTGAGATTTGCTGGCAGGGTTAGTCCTCTTCTTCTTGTCCTTACTCTTCCCTTATTACTCATTGAGAAAATACTGTGTTACTTTTAGTTGCTTTTATCCTGCACTTTTCAGATTCTCCTGCTTTTCTGAAATTGCTGTAACTGCAGCACTATTGCGATTTTACCCCTTGCTCTTGGCATATAAACCTGACCTTCTCTATCCTCAGTAGACTTTTAAGTGCCATTGGTCATGAGCTATTTGAAGGACTCAGTTGTGAATGCCTGTAACAAACTAAGGGTACGATGGAGCAAATTGTACGTAGAGTCCCTTGCTAGGATGATCAGTAGTATAAGGAAGATGTATATGGACCTAGCCAGTGGGAAGGTAACACTGGTGGCAATGTAGGCAGCCTGAAATGTCTGTGTCTCGTCTGCGTCTGCGCATTTTTGCTTGTCTGTAACTTAAATGCCTCTAGACCTATGTCAGGGCTGCACACAATGCATACCACACACTTTTCAACTCGCAGCTTTATCTCAACTCTATTTTTGGACCATACTTACAAGATGCCTGTTAAGTCATACAGTTTGAAAAGGCAAGGATTCAAAGTGCTGGATCGCAGAGACCTAACTCTTCTCCCTTTCCCATCTTCTCTTTTTCTTTCTTCCCAGCAAGTAACACTTTCCAGGTCCTGATTAGCACTCAGTTGGTACAAGGATGCTAGTCAGACCCTTCTGAGAAGAGACCTGTGGTTCTTTATTTCTTTTCCACTCAGTGTGAAAGAGTCGGCATCTCTTCTGTGTTACACCCTGCTTTGTGTCCCGTCAGTGTTACCTTTATATTTGTTAAAACCTAGGAATGTCAGGCAGCTCTGCAGGCATAGATTCTGCACTGGGAACTTCTTGAACACATGCTATGGTAAGTAGTTACCCTGTGTTTGCTCTGGGTTGTCCAATTCCTGAAAGTGGTATTGATTTGTGATTCAGTCACTTTAGATGTCTGTTAGTCACTCATCTTTGTTCTGTTTAATGCTAATTGTCTGACAAAACTTTAAAAGCAAAATAGGGGCCTGCTCAATCTAAAAATTGCTTGTAAGGCAGATCTTCAGGGGAAGCCCTGAAGAGTGTGGGCAGAGAGTGTTTAATGCAGGCTACTTTTGTTTTAATTCTGCTCTCAGTGCATCTCAGATTTGCACGGTGGGCGCAGTGGCTGCAGTAGATGACCCTGAGACACCCATTTACTGCCAAAAAAATGTAAGGATTACTTCCCTTGATAGGAACCCCAGCTGTGATGTGCACTGACTTTCTTATATTTTGAGTGAATGTGGGACCATGCTGCCATTATTTATTTATTTGAATCATGAGCTTCCTGGTATTTTGAAGGGGGCAGGGAATGTCTTACTCTTGTACAGAGTATTTCAGACTGCTTTAAACAATGTGTGAGCCATGATCTTAGCCTCAGGGTTGCACAAAATAACATGGGAAGAAGGTATCATTCTTACTGGTGGTTGTTGCTTTTCTCTGAAGGCAGTATCACTGAAACTTCTTGGCTGAGGTGACACATGGTGTTTACCTCTTCAAACCACCTGTCGTTCATATCAGGTACAGTGAATCCGAGAGGACATAGTGACTACAATCTACTAAAACCATTCTGTTACTATAAAAATACCAATACTTGGCCACAGCAATCTCCAATTTATTTGTTTATTTCCACTCAGTTTGATAGTAAGAAAGGTAGGGTTTTGGTACCTATTCTGCAGGGAGATAGATGGGCTTTGTTTTTAGATCAGTGGCATAAATGTTGCATGTTAAATCTTAATCTGCTTTTTAATGATGTTTAGAAAGACAGTGGAGGAAGGATGTTTTGATGGCAGACTTTCACAACCTTCTTTAATACTCAGATTTTTCAGTTTGACTAAGTCTAACTACAGTTACTTTGTAATGATAACTTACGAATGGTAACTGAACTGGATGAAAATAAGATGGTAAATCTAATTTGTGAGAACTTCCATAGTACAGTGAGTGGTTTGAAGAAACAAATGTTAGATGATCTCTACTGCTTTGGTAGTAAATAAGCGCAGAGTTTTGAAGATGAGCTAGGAAGAGCAGGTCAGAGGTGTGTGAGAACAGAAAAGGGGGGGTTAGCTGAAGTAAGCAGTTTCTCAGGCTGTCAGGAAGACTTGAAGTTTGTGAAATATTACAGGTCAGTTGAAAGGAGATGAAGAGTAGAAAGCGGTGATGAGACATGTTGGCCATGAACCAAGTAAAAGGGAAACAAAGAGAATTTGGGAAGGATTTTGTGGGAAGAGAAACCTGTGTGTGTGGTGAAAGAGGAAACCACTCAAAATGCATAAATAGATTGTGTGTAATGTTTAGAGAGCATGAAAGAGAGAAGCTTTAAAGAGTGGCTAAAAAGGCCTTGTCCTGTGTATCTTCCCACACTGCTTGTCCATCAGCTTTTCTTTTTTCAGTGTTAACCTTGAAACATGAGTTGCTGCCTGTTTTCACTTTGGTAGAGTCAGCTGATTTGGTTTAGGAGTTGCAGATAGCTGTCCTAATTGTTCAGTATCTCCCATCATGGCATGATGCAAAACTTGAATGCTTAGTGAATCAAGTAAAATTTTTGCAGAACATCTTTAAAATAGGGATTAAACTCAGTGGTGCCACAACTTTTAAAAATAGTTGCTTGATGTGTCTAATTTTTATGGTGCCATGTGAGCAGAATGGAAACAAGCCTTCAAGAAAGATTGTATCTGACTACTGAAACTTTATACAGATTATTTAACTTTGCTTTCTCCTTAATTCTGTTTTTTCTATGAGGCTTGGTTGCCTGGAATTTCTCTTGCAGTTTAACTGTCTCAGTAACTTCACAGCTCTCATTAAGCAGTTGGAAAGCGTAGCAGCATATTCCTTTGGCTGACAACAAATTACTTTGGTTAAATAGTTGTGCAGCTAGCAACTTTGTTGCTAGTGCTTGTTCATCAGATCCTCATTTTGCTGTGTCTGGCTACATAAATAGGTGTTTTCCTGTCATTTAGCACCTTCACGTAGGTTTGTTCTGTTCCCAAAATTGTAGAAATCTGGAGCTGAGTGATACTTGGTTCTTGTTCTCTACAACTTTGCTTTCCCAATGAACTGCAGTAGTTTGTGGCAAAACTCTGAAAATTCTGAAAATAAAATGATTACAGGTTTAAGTGTGTCAGCCTGACTTGTTTGAAATATGCGTCAAACCTGTGACATAAGAACTCAACCCACTGTGATCACTGAGGATTGTAAGCATTGTCTGTTAGACTTAAAAACAGTTTTGTAACCTAATTGAAAGAAGTCTTTTACTTTTCAGCCAAGTTTTGGGACAGGATTTGGAAAATGCACTTGTGTGGACAGACAAGGAGGTCTTACTGTTGTGGTACATGCGTTTCCTAGCTATTCGTTTCTAGCTATCTTATGGCTGAAAGTAAAATCCACAATTAAAGTGTAAACTGAAGTATAGCTGGATGATTTCAGCAAGTAAATTTAACTCTAATGTTGCAGTAGTATTGTAATAAAATAATACTTTTTGAGTTTGCTCCATTCACTAAGTCGCCTGCCTTTTGTGACAAGTAGCGCTTCTCAGTTGCCTGGCAGAAGTTGAAGGTGCTCACAGAGCTTGACTCTTCTTGCTTACAGAGGGGTAGAGCTGGCTTTTTTGTAACAGGGCTTAAGACTGGCCTAACTGAAAGCTAAGGTGCGCTTGACGTGTGAGTTATTACTCGGTGCAGTCTGAAGAATTGAAACTGTATTTTAGATCAATATTTTCCTTTAAAAGTGGAGAAAAAAACATTTTAATTTCCCCTGTTTCACAAGTGATGTGCTGATGAAGGAGTACCTTGAACAAGGCAAGGGTGCCTACAGTGTTAGACACTTTGAGAAGGCGCATGCTGGTTGAAGGGAAGCTATTGTGGTTCTCAAAGAGATTCTTCTGGATTGCTTGCCGAAATTTAAAACCTGTGCTGAAACACCCCATGCCAAACCTGATCAGTAAAGTCAGTCAGCAATGAGCAACTCCAGGTTCTGACCTCCGTCTAAGTGCGGCATTGGAAATAAACATACATTTTCTAATGCATAAGTGAACGTCGTCTTCCTCCTTTTTCCCCGCAGATAATTTCAGACCTTGAGTCATGGAATGATGAGCTCTCTCAGCAGATGAATGACTTTGACACTGAAGATCTTACAATAGCAGAACAGAGGCTCCAGCATCATGCAGACAAAGCCCTGACCATGAATAACTTGACCTTTGATGTCATCCACCAAGGGCAGGATCTGCTGCAGTATGTCAATGAAGTGCAGGCATCTGGTAAGGTGGCTCCTTCATTCTATTCCAGGCAGTGACTTTGTAAGAATTATCCAGTTGTCTCTCCATGGGATGTATAAAAATGACAGAGATGCTGGTTAACTGTAAACTGGAGATGTGGGCATTTTTTTTCTTCTTTTTACTCAATTCGTTTGTGTTCATGAGAACATGTTGTCATTATGGCATGTAATTTTTACCTAAGATTTGGCAACACCTGAAAATATTTAGGTTTTTGAGAAAGGAATTCCGCTCAGGAGGTAGCAAAATTGGAGTAAATAGTAGGGAGTTAATTTTATAGTTAATTGAAGCAATGCACTCAAGCCATAATTCTCAGCTTTCCTTTTTGGTTTCTCATGCTCCTTCACTTAATGTTTTCAACTGTGTACAGTCACCCAGGGTAAATCTCAGCCTTCTTTAAGGAAAAAAAAAATTAAAACTGCGCTTTTAAAGAGTGGAAAACACATGCTTATTTAAGCAAGTTCTCCAAGGATTCGGTTGAACTTTGGGCATGAACTGGCAGAGTAAGCGTGAACGGGACGTTGGTCTGGGGAAGCCGTGTGTAACCGCGGGGCTGCTTGCAGGCGTCGAGCTGCTTTGCGACAGAGACGTGGACATGGCCACCCGCGTGCAGGACCTGCTGGAGTTCCTCCACGAGAAGCAGCAGGAGCTGGACCTGGCGGCCGAGCAGCACCGCAAGCACCTGGAGCAGTGCGTGCAGCTGCGCCACCTGCAGGCCGAAGTCAAGCAGGTACGCGGGGCCTGCGTCCACTCCCCCGGAGCTCGGCCGCATCTCACCGAGAGGGCTCTTCCCTAGGTGGAAAATTAATTTCTGGTCTGGGAAGTCTCGTGTCTGGAGCAGGGGAGGGACCTTGAGCAGCTGAGTTCGTCGTCCGTTAATACTGTGGGGTTTAATTTGTGTGAACAGTCTGTATTTCCACCTGGCTACAAGTGAAGTATTTGAAGTTCAGAGCAATTTGAACTTACGTTAAATAATCCATACTCTTCTGATCTATATTGTGATTAATAAAAAGTTCAGTGATATTCCTCAAAACTAATACATCTACAAATGGTGATAACTTACTATCAGCAGGGTTTACTTTCCAAAATAAGAAAAAATGAATGTCTATGTTTAGGGCTCAGTGCAAATCCAAATGAAGTTGCAAATATAAAAAGGGGCCAGTTAGCATAGGAGAAGTGAATAGAAGGTTCCCAAAGTATTGCCAGGCAGCGGTTGGTTATTCTACGGAGGGAGACTCAAGGTTTCTGTGTGGTCTTGAATTTGAGGAATGCTAAGAACTGGTAGTGTCTGCTGTCAGTGTGTCCTGGTTTTACACAACACAGTGCTATCTAGGCGTTAATCAAATGTACTGAGCTATCCTGTATCCATCTTGGCACTTTTGTGTGAGCAATAGTTGAGATAAAGTCATTAGATTAGAACAGATTCTGTACTCCGGTGTGTACTGTCTTGAAGATAGAGGGAAATAGTGCACATTCACAAAGGAAAATTAAAAAAAAAGAGTGTGAATACCAGCTGAGGCAGGCTCATCCCTGTGCAGTACATCAGTAGGTTAAGATGGGATGAGTTAGTAAGGAAAAAAAAAATAATTTCCACGATACTGAAATAGTATTAAGTTACAGAACAAAACATAGCACTTGAGTAATATTTCTAAAACACACTATTAAATAGTTATCTATAATGCACGCTGCCACAATAAAGTGAGTATCTTGCTCCATAGCTTTGTTTGTAAGCAAGTTAAATGTGACAGGAAAGAGGCACATGCTTAAAAGCTGTGTTTGCAGAACAAGTCTTCTCTATTTTGATAGATACAAGCAGATGACGAACGTCATGGACCGTAGAGGAATGTCCATGATGCACTTACAGAATGACCTACAAACCACATACTAATGTTACTTTGTAACATTTTCGAACCACCGCTAACCCTGACTGAAACTGAAGCTCAAGTTTAGATTTTTAAGGAAAGCACTGAAAGAAATTAGTTCATCTTACAGTAAAGATATAGGTAGTATGTTATCCCAGACAGCAGCCTTTTTTGAGCAGACTGGGATTTTGGAGAAAAATAAAAAATTCTATTTATATTCCTAGTACACCTCTGTACCAAGTGGGATTTTATGTTGAATTAAGTGCTGTAATAGGAATTTTGAAACAACCTTACAAGAACATATAGCTGACAGGATGTTCATGTATTACAAAATCCTTTTCCAGATTTTCATTGTACAGATTAGCCTGCAATACTTCCCCAGCCTGAAGGTCTAAAAATTGAATGGAACCAAAACCAAATGTTATATTGTCTCATAAGATTTCTTTTGATCCCCTTTGGGGCTAGTAACTTTTAGTTTTGTGATTTTAGTTGCCTTTTCAGAAAACCACGTCTGATTTATTTTGTTTTTTTACTAAATATCAGGAAGCATGATCATGTTGTGCTTCCTCTGCAGTCGGAAAAACTTTATAGCTCAGCAGGTCACAGCAGGTGCTTTACCTGAGAGTAAAATGACATGGTAAACTTCCTCTTCAGTCTGTTTTGTTTGTATTTTGTTGCCTGAAGCAGTGAACACGTGGTTTTCCAGTTCAATTACTGTGATTTTTCTCCCAGATTTATTGTTGAACTTGATGTAAACGTATTTTTTATGTAGGTGGAATACTGTCTCCATAACAAGGATTTTAACAAGGCTTCCATTTGATTTTTTTTATTGGATTTTCACAC